TTATCCTCCTACACCTACGTCAGAGCAGTCTGAACTCGCGACGAGCACGTGGTCAAGCAGTTACACATGGCGTGAACAAGGATGTACACGTATCTTCTGCTTCAAGTGTTGGAAACGAAATAAAACAGGCACTGAGATGACTATGTTCTACGCAGTGCTAGGATTTCTTTAACATTTCGGTCCCCTATCACGCGCATTCCCTGTGGAGTAGCGTAGTCTCTGCCAACCTGTGTATTAGGGTCACCAAGTTTGCCCTTCTTCAGAACTGCACAAGCAGAGAGTACTGTTTTTATATGAATCTGTATTTTAAAGCTCGCGGATGTCTCATTATGGTGGATTATCATTATCATTACCACAACTGGCTTGCCGCTGATTACATGGGCAGGGGAAAGAGAGCAAATGCCAATCATTTAAAATGATAAGGGCAAGACCGACCTTTCATCTTGTTTTCCCTAAATGCACCTACATAGAAAGGTGTAGTCTCCTTCTATCTCTTTTATTTGTCCTTATTTGGAGAAGGCAGTGGTGCTGCGTTTGTGGGGGACTGGGACGGTCCTGCTCTCCGACCGGTTGGCTATTCAGTTATATAACTGATAATAGATACTCCAGACTGAAAAGTGGCGTGCGGGCAAGACAGACCGAGACAATTACTGTTTGCAGGTAGAATGACATTACCGACAAAATCAAGGGAACCTGGAATGGTTATCGCAGGGGTTTATGTATGTTAAACCCTAGCATCTGCGATCTTTAGACCATGGTTACTTAGTAGAGAAGTCTTGGGAAGGCCAGAGTAGTAGGAACAGTATATTGCGTACACAGAGGAACGAAGAATAGATGGAAAGAGATTTGACTTGGAGAGCATAAAACCGGCTAGGAGAGGCAGTCGAGTTCATGTGCTGGTCAGACAGCAGTCAGGGCAGTAGACAGAGATAGCGTTCATTGGCTAGGTCGGCCTGTGATTGATTGGACAGCGTGTGGGTAGATATTGACGTGGGTGGCCCGTGTCTCGCGCACCAGTAAGTTTATTGGCCGCCACAAGCTTGAGGTCTAGACGGATTGAGGTCACGACAGGAAGGCTAGGCGTCGGGCAGACAGCGACCACTACATGGTCAGTCCTGCCTTATAAACTGGCATCAACCAACCATACCCAACTACCAGGGTTCGAACCCTCGACCTGTTGGTTAGACTTCAAACAACCTAACCGATGGGCTTCTTGCCCCTGCTTTTGAT